AAAAAAAAAAAAAAAAAAAGAATTAGCCGAACCTGACCCCCTCAGCCTTCCACTTCGACATCCTCAAAGCCTGCCCAACGCTAAACTTGCAGGATATCTTGGTCCACGAAACCTGGAATTCATTCACTACAGCGCCTCAAGCGCAGGGCTCTCATAGCATGATGTGCCTAATCAGATGAACCCTTCTGTCAGATCCCCGCAGCAGCCGTGATTACACAAATAGCCAGAAAAAAACATGGCCCTTTTGCAAGGCACAGGTTCGGTACCTCCGTGAGGTCATCATTGAAGTGCAGATGGATGACAGGAATGTGGTTGTCCTCCCACGGCTTCTCTGACCCAATTTTTCTTAAGTAGCGTAGGCTTCAGGAAGGCGGCCTGTGATTCGGGAACGGGTCTTGCTGCAGTTGCGAATCTTAAGGTATGTGTGAGGCCAGGATCTGCGGGCTTGAGAGGCAAGGCTTGAAACTTCGGGCTTGAGGATTCAAGAAGTCTACCAGGTCATGTCGTATTCAACTTGCGCTAGAGCTTTCAGCGCAAGATATGGAATATGAGCTCTGAAGAACAGCCCAAAAAAGGGAGCCAAGGAATCCAGCTTAGTGCGGAAATGCCTCATCTGCATGGACTTGCAGCCTGCAGCTTACGGTTCGATGTCACGGGTCATAATTTCGGCGAGGAGCCCTTGGAACTGAGGTTTACGGTTTAGGGCTGTGGGTTTAGGGTTGAAGGTATCGGGTTTTGGTACCCTTCCCTTTTTCAGCAGCCAATAAAGGGGCACAAGTTTGAAAGCCAACTGAAAAGTATGTACGGGAGAAGAAGAAATATAAGAGTTCTGGCCACAGATTCGTTGCACCCAAGCCTCGTGCGCATCGCTGTACAGTGGAAAGACGGGCTATTGCTTACTCCTCAACTTCAACGGATGGACATCCATGCCTTTCCTCTGGCTAACACGTTGGCAACTTGGAGGGTCAGGCGGACTAAGTCAGTGGCCTTATAATGAACATAACTGGGGTTACTGTATGGCTGTAGGGTTTATAGGTCTACTTATTAGTAATGGAGATAACGGGGGCATTATATGGCTTGTGGGAGTTCTAAGTCTTCTTCCTAAGCCCCCCTGACCCTCCAAGAAGAGTCTCGTTCAGCTTATGGGCGCGGTTTGACCTAGCTTCCTGCAGTAGACGGGTATAGGGATGTAGGGTTCAGGGTTTAGGGCTTTGACCCAATCATGGAGAATCAAGTGGAAAAGCAAAAAGATAATGAGATGGAAGCCGGGAAAACATATCGGACTATGGGGATTAAGGCTTTGATGAATTAGGGGCCAAACTTTAAACTGTGTGAAGGAGTGTCAACTTTGACTTCGGTGGCGACTAAATAAGCTTACTGGTGGTTTAGGGTTTAATCGGGAATGAGGGAATACAACCACAATGTAATCCACCTATAATGTATTCCTTTATTCCCTACTAAACCCCAGTGCATAAAGTAGGATACGCAGGAGACCTCGATCAAGAATCCAGAGCCTTGTGCTTTTGAAACATGTCTCTGAGGGACATATATATAGGGATTACAAGCGGACATATGGTTATAACGGGGTCATGTAGGGGTCATAGGCGGATATATGGATATGTGGGGGCTATGGAGGGGTTACATAAGGATTCTATGGGGATTGTAGGCGAATATCTGCATATATATATATAGAGGTTATATCAGGGTGATACAGGCGTTATATGCGGAATATATAGGGAATAAAGTCACTAGAGTATACACAGCCAACCGAGGGATCTTCTGGGAGCGGACATGTGGGTGTGGCTCACGGCATCGATTGCCTGATGTCTCTTGGTGTACCTGTGGTGAAAAATGGGACTACATCTCCCTCAATTGCTTGAAGAGGGAACCCAAAGGGTCCAAGTACCCAAAAATCATATACTTACCCAAAACCTGTACTATCATTACTATTACTCGATACCCAAGTACCTAATTATTGGGTATTTGGACCCTTGGGGGAAGAGGATCCAGCAAAATCTACCAGCATCCTGGCTGTAACTTTTTTCTTGTGTTGCATTGCCATTCAAACAGCTCAAACAGTTCCAGGTGGTTCTTTGGAACTGATTGGGGACGAGGCTTCACTGAATTGCTTCGTTCTGAGCCGCTGAAGCCCGACCCTCCCCCTGGCACCAGCTGCATTGGCAGTCTTCCTGGCTGCGCCAAGATCCAAACGCCGCAGCGCGCTAGCGTCGACGGCATCGACTGGAGCCCCGGTGTCGGTTTTGCGAGGCTTTGGTGTCTCCGGCTCCACCTCTAGCAGGTCGGAGAGCCGCTGTTGCAACAACAGCTGCGCCTCCGTGGGGTCACTCTTGCCCAGAACTGATCGAACCATCAAAGGTCCCAAGTATGGTAAGTTCAGAGTCCCAGCTGGGCCTACGGCCGTGGAGTACAACACCAACGGGACCAGAAAAACATCATGTACAATCAGAAGGACAAGCAGAATGACACCCATGCAGCTACTCCAGTACCCAGAGAGAACCACTTTCTCAAAATAGGTGATCCACAGCGCCATGTAGGCCATCGGCGTCGTGAACATGGAAGCGGTCCAGACCCCAAACGTCCGTTGTTCCAAGGACAGAGCGCACCAAACGATGGCCCAAAGCAATGCTTCGAGAATTGCAACAACGCTGAAGCACCATGCCAGCGACCCCCATTCCACGCACAGACTGACGTACACGAAGCCTGGGTTCTTGTTGGAATACTATTTAAAATGATCTTTTTTTAAATCTATATTGGGCTCAGGTATACATTTTTGGAAGCCCCCATAATATGCTACAAAATACTACTATGTACTATAATGTACTATAGTATACTATAATGTTGTTCAACAAGAACCCAGAAGCCATGTAGCCATACAGACCAGGCAAATGCAGCCACTGACATCCTTAGCCGTGAGCTTTTTTTTTTTCGAGGCAGCAAGGTGAGGGACCAGGGGTAGTGGAAAAGAAAATGGAAACTATTATAGTATATAATGTTATACTACAAGAAACTCTAGTATACTATAGTACTTGATAGTATATTAGGGTATATTCTAGTATGCTATAGTATATCATAGTATAGATTTCATATAATATGGTATGGTATGGTATAATATATTATAATATATTATAGTATATTACGGTCTATTATAGTTATTATAGTATATGATGTACTATGGAAAAGACTGGAATAGAATATTGGGGTCCCACTACTTGTGGAAACTACCAGATATCTGTAGAGCTAATGATCCGACCCAGCAGAAAGTCTTTTCTTTTGAGTCCAGGATCTCAAGAAAACTAGGATTAACATACTCCCCCTTTTTGAATCTAATCTAGCTCATATTTATAAAGAGCTTAAGACTCCCATATAAGGAAAAACAGGCTTACTCAACACCCCTGGAGCTGAGCATCTTGTACATCCCCGCATGTTCCACTTGAATTTGATGCCTTGCCACTTCTCTTAGCTCGGGTGTTGACACTCCAGAAGAAATCAGCACAGAAACCGCGGCATCCACCAATTCATGCCCCCCGTGGTTGGAGATTTCACTCATGATGGTCCGTTTATCTGCAGGCTGAGAACTACGCGCATCGGCCACGCCAGTGAAATTCTGATAGAGTTGAAACGACTGTTCGTGCAAAGCGATGGACCACTGTCTGTCCGCCTCGATCAGCAAAATGCAGGAACTCATCGTGGGGATCCAAAGGCCTATCTGGATGTAGAGCCCCAAACATGTCCTGTAGCCCAAGAAATCATACATACAGTCGGATGCCAGGAGCACATAATCTCCCAAGGTGCCTAAGTACAGGCCGCCAAAGATAGTGAGACTAATGACCAGCAGTCGTTGCCGCTTCTGACCGAAGGACAGCAGAGTAAAGCCAGCAAACGCAACAAAAGCTAGAAGAACGGCCACCAAGACATGGGCTTCCATCTGGGCTCCCCAACGCTGCGCGGAAGCATGCCCTGCGAAAGCGCCGGCAGCCATGCTACAACATAAAACTGCCAGCATGGCAAGTTGGCGAATCCAAAAGCCATGTGGCCGAGACATGGCAGTGGTAATTCGCTTGTTCAACTGAACTCCCAGATGAGCTTCGAAGGCACACCAAATACGGGTGTAGATGCTGTTGTGTCGATTAGGCACCACAAGCATGTGCTCTGCTTGTTCCAGTGCATGTGCAAAGGGGGAGCTCAAGGGATCCGCGATCAACGAAGCAATGTCTAGGTTCTGAGGGTTCGAAAGCATGCAACAGTATGCATGGCGTGCACCAGGAGGCCATGAATCCAAGACTTTGTCTAAGAATTCGAAAATGCCTTCCTCCCAGGCATGAGTCACGAATACATCACAAAGAAGTCCTTGAGGATGTTTCATCAGTGCCCAACTCATATTACCAGCTTCTTTGGTCCGTGGTTTAATCAGCTGTTCCACCACCGTGTAAATACTTGGGCCAAATCTCTCGTCCTTTGGATCGAAAGGGTCCAAGTCGGTGGGTCTCAGGCGTCCTTCGCGCAACGCCAACCGCACTTCGCCCCGGAGCTCGGCCAAATCCTCCCAGGTGACGCACCTGGGTTGCTGTTAAGGAACTCAAATTAAGTTACCATAAGGGGTATATATATGAACTTATAGGGTTTCCCCAATACAGTAACTTAGTTCCTTAACAGCAACCCAGGCACCAGGAGTCGAAGGGCACCGAACGGTGCAGCAAATCACCCAAATGGTCACCATGATGGTCCACGTCCCCAGCCACCGCCACGTCCACATCGGACTCAAGGGGAACGTAGCCTTCTCGTGCCATTGCAACAATGTCCGAGGCAGTACGATGCAAGCTCAAACAAGTTTACGAAGAGGCGAAGGCAGGTAAAAGGAAGGAAGACTTTCCCCAATGGGCCTTGAGAGCGCCAAGGGCCTAGTTTACCACCAGAAGTGGGATTCCTGTCTGAGAGTTTGACATGTGCCGCAAAGGACTTCTATTCAACTACCCTAGCTTTGCACCTCCTCGAATCTGCCGAGCACTTAGAACTTGCAGGCGTAGTGCAAACAGAGCACTTAAATCCATTGGGGTAATATTAGGAATATGTTGGGGAGTTACATTGGAGTTATATTGGGATATTTAGGGGCCTGGTTCAAAGAGAGCTGAACTCTGCGCGCTCCTTTGCGAAGAAACCTTTGTACTCACGAATCCTGACTCTGAGACCATGCCGGCTTCAAAAGACTGCCAACGCAGGAATGCAGAAATGCACATGGTAGTTTCCCTAGGGATACCTTGTCCCATAATGAAGATTGCAATATTTTGGAGTCTATATTGGGTCCCCCTGAATTATGGAATTTACCACATTGCTCTACACTGTCCATTCTTGTTCTGGTGTTTTCAACCTGCACGACCTCGCACACATTTCAGCCCCGGCAGCTGGTTGCCAAGGGTACCCAATTGGGTTTAGGGTTTAGGGTTTAGGGTACCCAAGTTCTCAGCTTCTTTATGTCCTGTCCAGCATTTACCAGGCTGCGAGGGTGCGACATCAATGGGCAGTCTGCAGGTCGAAAAAAACACCTAAACCCTAACCCGAAACGGAAACTGATGACTTGAAACATCTTTGTTGCATGAAGCCACTGGATGATCCATGCCATCCCTTGCACCACCAACTCATAAGTGCAAATGCATACACACATAAATAGAACAGAATTACGCGTATGAACACGTCTTGAAAAGCTGAGCAAACAGCCGGTACAAATGACCCCCCAAAAGCCGCATTGAACATTGACAACGGGCTGCATTTGAAATCCTTTTGCTCTGAACCTCCAAGTAGGGCCCCCCTCTGATAGTTGACCCGGCTGAAAAAACGCGTAAAACTCATAATCCGAATTAAGGCCCTTGTGGCTAGATTCCCAATGGTAACTACACTTAGAGGTCAGCGCCTTCGAGCCTGCCCAGCCTTTTTGCGCGCCACCCTAAACCCGAAACCCTAAACCCGAAACCCTAAACCCCAAAACCTAAACCCCAAACCCTAGACCCCAAACCCTAAGCCCAAAACCCCAAACACGAAGCCCCTTACCCTAGACTCTACGAACCCCATGTTTAAAATTGCAGCACAGCTCCGGATCAATGGAGAGGCGAAGGAATTCTTCCGTCTCATCCTGTTTGGGGTTTAGAGTTTAGACGGTATAGGTGCGTGTATGGGGACATATAGAGAATACGGCCTACTGGGAAACAAAGGAATGTGCATCAATGGCCTAACACGCATGAAGAGAGCCGAACACGCCATAATTCTACGTCTTCTTTTTGGGGGTATGGTATGGCTACAGGGGTGTAGGGTCGGAAGGAATTGCCTTTTTGAGTTCTGTGTGTTTCGGCTTTTGCTATGCTGAACCCTTGTAGTCACGTGACGACAAGCTCCTAAACACAAAGTCCAACCCATTACACCCGCAAACGAAAAGGGAAGTCCCCAGTATAACTCAGAAGACTACACCCACTTTTACAAGCGCACAATTTCGGAAATACAATGTTCCTTCTGTAGCTGCCTATAATCCCTTCCCCCAGATATCAAACTTTAAGGGTCCAAGGACCCAAATAATAAGGTTTTAGGGCCCAAATACCATTACTATTATAGTAATTGGGGCTTAAAACCCTCTTATTTGGGTCCTATATACCCCTATATAATCCCAATATATCCCTATTTTTCCCCCTTTAACCCCCTTTAAATGGGACCCTATTATTTGGGTCCTTGGACCCTTCGGTAAATACTAAGCTTGGGGGCCTAAAATCCCGAAGCGTACCTTTTTTCGGGGCCAAACTCAAGAGGTGGCAGTCAATTATGAAGTAGGGGTCTTTAACAATTACTTAAGGTTGAGGGTTTAGGGTTTAGGGAAGTAGGGGTCTTTAACACGTACTTGTCAACTAAGTATGAAACTGACTAATTAGTTACGGAACCAAATAATCTCAGTTGGTTGCAGATTCAATCGTTAATCAAGGCACCGAACCACTTGGTTTAATCAATGGTTATTGATTTCCATGGAGAAAGCACTTAGTTCTCCTAAGCCGAAAACCCAAATCCTACACTGATAGCATGTCCTCCGCGTCCCTCAAGACTTCCAGAGTTTTATCCCTAGGGCCATACCCCTAAAAGGGGTACAGCCCTAAAACCCTAAATCCCAATCCTAAACCCTAAATCCAAAGCCCTATACTAGGCTAGGGGCACACAAGACCCAAAACCCTAAACCCTAAATCCAGAGCCCTACCCCTGAAACCCTTGATCTCCAGCCTCCATGCCATTTTCAGCTAAGGTTTTCTCCATGTTCAAAGGTTTCCCAAGGCGCTTCCAAGTATAACTTCCTGGCCACTGCCGGGGTTTAGGCTTTGGCTTTAAGGGTTTGGTGGTTAGGGTTTTAGGGTTTAGGGGTTTAGGGTTTAAGGGTTTAAGGGTTTGGGGATTAGGGTTTTCGGGTTTAAGGGTTTGGGGTTTAAGAGTTTAGGGTTTTAGGGTTTAGGGTTTTAGGGTTTAAGGTTTGGGGTTCAGGGCCGAGGTTTACTGTGTGGGGTCGTGAGGATCCGTCTGTAAATGTCCATACAAAGGTATATACCCTCAACTACTACAAGCCCTATGAAAAGGAGCTCCAACAAGGACCCCCTAAACCCTAAGATATTGGGGGGTTATGTAGGGATAATGGAAAAATGGAAACTACTATGGTATATAGGCTATATAGGGGTACTGGAAAGGAAAATGGAAACTACTTTTAAACCGTAAACCCAGGGATAAACCCTAAACCCTAACCCCTAAACCCTAAAGTTCAGATTCCTCATGCATGCAGGTCTGCTTCGTTCAATCGCAGCCAGAGGCCTTTCAGCCGTTAGGCTCTTAGGGTTGTAGGGTTTATGGTTTAAGGGTTTCAGGGTTTAGGGTATTGAGGGTTTAGGGTTTTTAGGGTGTAGGGTTTTAGGGTGTTTAGGGTTTAGGGTTCGGCTTTTTTGGGGTTTAAGGGTTTAGGTTNNAGGTTTTCGGATTTTTGGGTTTAGTGCTGTTGTTGGAACTTTCAAAGTACACGTATAACCCCAACAAGCCATACACTAACCCCATTTCTCCCCATTGTTGACGCACTAGGTAAGTCCTCCTGACCTTTCCAAGTTGGTGTGTAAAAGCCTTGTGGCCGCTTAGGGTAATAGCAGATTCTGGCAATCATGGTACTGGAAGTGGTGCAGGATTTGCGTGATCAACAATATGAGTGTAGTACAAGTATGGAAACCTTGAAGCTTCAAGCGTTGATTGCCGCAGCAAAATGATCTCCATTGCAACGCCCCCCCACCCCCCACAAAACAAAAAAAAAA